AACTCCTTGCTGCATAGATAATGCAGTTGAATGTGGTTACTTGGTTCAGGGGCAGCAAGCAGGCGCTTACGGTCTTTCAGTCCAGTTTTGTTTTTGTTTTTTTTTTTCATTTCTTACTGCTGGAATTTCCTATTTGCTCCTTCTTGCTGGATCACTAAACATTTTTGCTGAGTTGTATGGGTGATCCCAAGATGACTTAAAACACGGGAGAAAGGATGTAAGTTACATGTGAGTATTCCACCCTTCTGTACAAGGGACTGAGCACTCACAGCTGTCGTGCTGCTGTGGGTGCGGGCCAGGGGTCCTGGAATTAATCCCTTGTGGATGCCTAAGAAGTTACTTTAAATTCATAGAAGCCTGAGTAGCATGTACTTTTAAATTTAAAATAGTTCCAGCGGGTTACTCTTCCAGTGATACTTTTAACTAGAAGTACTGTGCTGCGGAAGAAAGAGTAGGGGTTGGGAAGGGCCTGTGCAGGATGTGAGCTTAGGGCCTAGGCCGTGGTAGGGGTGGTCGCCCACGCTCGGCCCCTCTTAGGAGGCTTTGGGTGTGATGGTGAGGGCTCAGTGGGTATTAAATGGTTGATTTATTTTTTTCTGCCATTAAATCAGAAAGCACAGAGGATGTTTCTGGATGACTGACCTGTGTATGGTTTTGGAAGCGCTCATGTCTGTGGGAAGAGAGGCGTTTGTGACTTTTGGGCTGTCTGGCCAGGCCTCCGTCCTTAGCACAGAGGCCCTGTCTGCTGGAAGATGCCGTCTTGGAGAGGAGGAGGGGCCAGCTGATCCCTTCTGCCCTTAAGGCTAGAGGCTCCAGGCTGTGCTCCAGGTGGGCTGCTCCCCGCTAGAATATGTCGAGGTGAGGGCTGTGGTAAGGACCCACTTGCAGGCCCGGCCCAGAGTCCCTGCTGCTCCAGTTTTTGGATTCTTTGGTTTTTGTTCGCTTACATTCTGTTTGGATTCAGGCAACCATATTTAGTTTCTGTTGCTTGCAACCAAGAACTCTCACATATTGCTTGGGTAGTTTTGTTTATTTGTTCTTTTGTTCCTGTTTTCTTATTTTTTGAAGACAAGGTCTCACTAATGCAGTACAGAGTGGTTGTTTAATTTTTTTGAGACTAGGTCTCGCTGTATAAATTGAGGCTGGACCCAACTCCTGATGATCCTCCTGCCTCATCCTTCCAGGTGCTGGAGTCACACGTGTGTACCATCATATGTGGCTCCAGACCAGTCCTATAGTCCGGGCAGGGCTCAAACTTGCAGGCTTCCCTGCCTCAGCCTCCCAGGTGCTCAGATTGTTTGGGTGTTGCCACTGTACAGGTTGGCTTATGTGGGTAGTGTTTTGTGTTTTGCTTAGGCTTTGTTTTTGTATTGCTGGGGCCTTCACCCTAGCTGTATCCTCAGCTCTTTTTAATGTTTTATTTTGAGATGGCGTCTGTAAGTTTCTCAGGCTGGGCTCAAACTTGTGATTTTGTTGCCTTAGCTTCCCGGAATGCTAGAATTACAGGTGTATATTACCATTGACTTAAAATAGCCAAAAGTAATCGTCTCGTTACTTGTCTCTTGTAGGTCACAGTTTGTAGAAGTTTCAGTGCATAATTGGCTGGCTCCAAGGCGGGGTGGCCATGATAGAGGGGCAACCATTCGAGGTAGCAGAAGACGGCAAAAGCAGCAAGGGAGCGAGACAAACCGCTTTCTGTCCTTTACAGCGTCTCCACTCTGCTGGCATTAGAACAGTGTCAGTCCAGTCAGTGGGCTGACCCAGCAGGCACCCCCCCATCCCAGCGCTGCAGTATGAATCAGTCACCCTGGATCCAGCCACCTTGAGAAACCCTGTAACAGGAGGAGCCTGGGGGTACACCTGGTGCCAGGCACCACGGTGGTGTGTTAGCTCGGAGCTGGCATGATTGATGGGCTTGAGCTCTGCCGCCTTGGTACATCGTGGATTGGCACGGCCACTGGTCCAGTCATGCCCACCCCACACGTGACGCCTACACCTGCTCTTTTGGGAATTGTCCTGAAGACTGTTGGAGAGTGTGTAGGTTTTTAATATTTTAAGCCTTAAGAGTACAAGAACTAAGTTTTTAAAATGAATTTTAAAAATCCTAGTTTAAGAAAACTGTAGGATGCTTTTAAAATATATAACAGTTACCTCCTAGTTTATCTTGGTTAACAAGAACTTACTTAATACTTCTGTACAGCCTTGTTTTAGGTGCAGCGATGATTTTTTTTTTTTTGTCTTTTTCGTTTTTATCGGTACCAGGGATCGAACTCACGTCTGCCTGCTTGCAAAGCAGGCGCTTATGCCACTGAGCTAAATCCCCAGCCCCGTGCAGTGATGATTTTAAAAGCAGGGGCATGTCCCCTGCTCTCCAGGTGTTGGTTTTTAAAATGGAGGAATTAATTAAATTACCTTTAGCCATTTCAGTTCCGCCGAACAAGTCTCTTAAAAGGGGCAGATAGAGAAAGAGGCCAGACTTGGACGTATACAGAGCAGGTAGGAGAGGCTGTGTTTGGGGATGCTTCTTTTTGGAGGCAAAGTACTTGGTCAGTCTTAGACTTTAAGAAGCAGAATTTCTGTGGTAGAGGGAGGGGACATCAGCAGAGGCGCCCAGTGCGAGTGAGGGTGGGGGTGACGGAGTACTGAGCAGGTGGCCAGGCCTGGCACCGAGGAGGGCTGCGGGTTGGGAGGGTCAAGGGCTTTGCAGCTTGATTTAGGAGGACAAGGGCTTTGGTTGGCCGCACCTGGGGAAGCGGGGTTGCTCTCAGGGCCGTGTGTCCAGAGAAGGAGAGCGCAGTGGGCTCCCAGATGGCCGGGGTGGCTCTGCTGGAGTGAGCACTATGGTCAGGCTGTGTTGGAGTGGAGGAGTGTATTAGGTCCTGTTGCCATCAAAGGAGGTGACAGATGGGGTGACAGATGGCACGTTAGAGATGAAGCAGCTTGTGGTAGAAGATGCCTATTAAATTTTGGTGACAGGAAAAACGAGAAAAGAGCTTGCTTTTGGAGAAAAGATGGAACTTTGACTTTATCACCAATTTGAAGTACAAATGGGAGCTGAATGAGAGGAGTTAGAGGCGTGGACTCTGGGGCATGTGAAGCCAGGATGGCAGCTAGAGCTCAGTGTGGGGCACCGCGAAGGAGGAGGGTGGAGGAGAAGGTCGGCGTGAGCGGAAGCGCCCACCATGGAGAACAGAGGCAGGGCCTGAGCGAGCCAACCTGGTGCCCAGGGGACCGTCTCCGGAAGGCCAGGAGAAGGTCTTGGAAAGGAAGTGGGGGTGCTCTGGGAGCGGAGGACTGACAGGTGCCAGATGGAGACCCAGGAACTGGGGGCACAGGGCGAGTGCAAGCTTGCTGCCCTGCCCTTCAGACTGTGCAGGCATGAAAAGCAGATGCTGGGGCTGAGCGGGGAGGACCTGCCTGGCATGCGCGAGGCCCTGGATTTGATTGCTGACATCTCAAAAGGAAACAAAGTCCTGATCAGAACAGCCTCGTACAGAGACAGACTTCAGTGGTGTGAGATCCAAAGATAGGGACACTGGAAGAGAGGGGAGAGGTTGGGTGGAGCTGTGTGAGTTTGCACTGGGAGGAGGTGAGGCCTGACAGCATGGCATCTGTAAATTTTTAAGCTTGGGTGATGTCAGTCCCTTCAGGGATGAGGATCTGAAAACCCCAGAGGGTATTCAGATGTGTCTGCTCCGGTCCTTTGCACTGTAAGGTTCTCAAGCAGGACATGCGCTGCCTCCAACAAGTCTGCGAAAGTGGAATGGGAAGATGGAATAGAAACAGATTTGCAGGACTGCTCATAGCACCAGAATCTAAAAAACCTTTGGGATGGAAGCTGGCATGCAGTTATAAATATGTAGGGCCTGGAGGTTTAGCTCAGCGGCATAAGCACCTGCCTTGCCAGTGTGTGGTCGTGAGTTTGATCCCTGGTACCAATAAAAAAAGAAAAAGACAAAAAAAAAGTCATAGCTTGCAGTTATAAACATGTAATCTCTGCCACTGCCACCAGCATCCATTGCTGTGTTGTCCCTGTTGACTGCTGCCAATCACGATCCTGGCACCGTGCAGTACTGCGAGAAGCAGCACAGTTTGTTAGGCGTGGATATTTTTGGCAAATTTTTGATGCCAGCGATTACTTTCGAAGACCATTTTAGTCATCTTTCTTTGACTATAAAGGTGCTTCGCTCTGGCCATATCAGTTTGCAATCTCTGCAGAACTGCTTGGGGTGAAGATAGCAGAGTCTGGAATGGGTCCTGCCCGAGCTCTGCGGTGAGGTCTGCACAGCAGGCTGCAGCTGGAGGGGGTGAGCACCGCTCAGCCCTAGGTATTTCGCCCAAAGCATGGAGACACTAGAGAAAGGATACATATGTGTACATTTATGTATGTGCAAGTTAGGCTTGTAGAGTCGGGTGTGGAAGAATGCAAAAAGGCCAGCTGCAGCCTGCAGAGCTGGGGGAAGCAGAAGGCGAAGGCGTGGAGCTCCCTGCAGGGTCCCGTGCTGAGTCCACACCAGGAGGCCTGGAAGTCTGCTGCAAGGCCCGGAAGCCTGCTGCAAGGCCGGAGAGTCTGAGCAGGAAGGCTGGAGACACCAAGCGTGGTGATGAAGATGGCGCCCGCTGAAGGAACAGGGAGCCTTCCCTCCTTCCCTCCCTTTCTACCCCATCCAGGCTGGAAGCCTGTTGGGTGGTGCCACCCTGGCCCAGGTGGGGCCTCCCTCTTCTGCAGGTCCATCAGCCACACCCAGAGCTGTGCTAAACCCACCAGCTGGCTGTTTAAAGTTGACACCGCAGTTAACTGTGACAGCTGGGGTGGCGTTTAGTTTTGCAACATTGGGATTGACTTATATTCAGTTTGTGGTCTGTTTTGATATATACAGTGAACCTTTTTCCTAGCCTGAATTCATGCGCAGTTTCTCTCTCTCTCTCTCTCTCTCTCTCTCTCTCTCTCTCTCTCTGGTGGCAGGTACAGAATAGCAATTCTTTAAAATGGCTGGTCAGTGCTAGCTTTGGCAGTCCATGTACTAAAACTGGAGCCATACAGAGAAGATTAGCTTGGCCCCTGCGCAAAGATGACACAAATTTATAACGCATTCCACATTTTTAAAATGGCTGGTCAGAGGTCTTTTTTTTAATGATCTTTTTGAGAAAAAGTTTTGCCATGAGTTTCAGGAGGCTTGAACTCAAACTCACTTTGTAGCCCAGGCTGGCCCTGCATTCACAGGGTGCAGCGCCTCAGTTTCCCGGGTGCTGGGGTTACAGGCATTTTAAAGAATTCTCTGTCTGCACTGGCTTCCTCCATTGCTCGTTAATAAGAAGAAGGGATGATTCTTTATTTACTGTGTGGCTCACAGAGAGAGTGACTAGTAGGGTGAAGATGAGCGGACATTATTGTGTCCAGAGGACTGTTGAGTTTAGAGCCGTCTCTGATGAATCTGGAAAGGACCTGGCAGAGCCTTCTTTGCAGTAAGAAGTCAGTCATGCCATCTAGTAGCGATTATGCTTTCTGCGTTGCATCTCTGTTGGGCCCCAGACTTAACTCTCTTCAGAGACTCGCAGTGGCCATAGAACTACTCTTTGAAGACACAACAGAGTAGTAATAGATGTCATTAAGGCATCATTTCTTTGTTGGTGGTTGTCGTCAGCAAAACAAGCATAACAAAAGTTGTGTTTTTGGCTTATCTGAAGAACACATGGAAGAATGTACCAGTATGCTGGCCATCGCTGACTTGATGGTCAACTCAGTCTAAAATTTTTTTGTTGTTGTTCTTTTTCGGTAACAGGGATCAAACTCACAACTGCCTGCTTGCAAGGCAGGCGCTTATGCCGCTGAGCTAAATCCCTAGCCCCTAACTCGGTTTAAAATTAACGCCATTGTTCAGCTTGTCAAGTCTGTCCAGGGAAGGACGTTAGGCCCTTTCTTACATTGTGACTGAACGGGTTTGTGACAGACACTGTTGTTTGTCTGACCCCTTCCTTGGAGTGCTCGCCGGTTACGTTTGCAGGGAGGGGTAACTTTGTGACCGTCGCATATGGAAGTTTGTGAGTCTGGCATTGTTCTTACCTCTTCTGTCTTGGATGTTGAAGTGTTCTCTGGAATGGTCGCAGCTGCTTTGAGGTCATGTGATGACATCGTCAGAAGGGACAGGAGAGTACAGAAGTACAGCCTGGAAGCCAGATGCAGTGGTGCATGCCTGTCCTTCCTGCTACTCAGGAATCAGAGGCAGGAGGGCTGCAAGTCTGAGGCCAGCCTGCGCAACTTGGGGAGACCCTGTGTCAAAGTGCTGTTAAATGTGCTCAGCCGTAGGGTGCCTGCTCGCACATCAGGGTCCCGAGTTCAGTCCTCGGTGCTGGTAAGAGAAAAGGGCCTGGGGGCTGCGGTGGTGTCACTGGGTATCAGAACAGCCCCAGGAGCCAAGCCAGCTCCGTGACCAGTCCCCTCAGACTTCCTGTCCTGCGAGGAGACTGAGCGCCTGTTTCGTTTTGCCTCTGCAGTCCGCATCTACATTTGAAAGCGTTCCCCTGGTACAGCCAGACGCCCTTTCTGTGCTAAGCCTTTCCTTTGCCACCCTTACTAGCATTTCTGTGCGTAAGAACTTTCGGGATTAGTGATGCTCCTGTGTTTATCTAAGCTACTATTTGTACACTTTTTCTTTTTTTTAAACTTTCTTAGTACTTGGGGTTGGACCCCGGAGCTTTGCATTGAGCCATATCCCCAGCCCTTTTTATTTTGAGACTGGGTCTTGTTAAGTTGCCCAGGTGGGACTTGAACTTGCCAACCTCCTGCCTTAGTCACTTGGATACTGGGATTGCAGGTTGTGTGCCCTGCCACTTTTGCATACACTTAAAAAATTAGCCCCTAAACACCTTTATTTATGCATTATGTGTACTGATATTTATCATTAAAATTAAAACTTATAAAATTTAGGGAATAATAGTTCTTTCAAAAACAGCAGCAAGGGGCTGGGAATGTAGTTCAGCAGCATAACTGCCTGCCTGGCAAGCTCAAGGCCATGAGTTCAATCCCCGGTACCAAAAAAAAAAAAAAAAAAAAAAAAAAAACTTGCCTGAGATCTGTCCCTGGAGGCACTCCAAAAACAGCAACAGTAAGATCATTACATGTTGACATAAGTAATATGTGAGGGGGAAAACATTTATTTTGTCTTTTTTTTTTTTTTTTTTGGTACTGGATATTAAACTCATGACCTTATGCCACAGAGCTAAATCCCCAGCCCTTTCTTTAAAAAGAAAAAAAAAAAAAACCAATAAAAAAGACACAGAATTTTGTAACAGTATAATAGGAAATTAATAATGGTTAGTATATTGTGTATTGTCTTCAAAGTAGTTGCTCAGATTATAAGATACAGGCGTGCAAAATTGTTCAGACAATATAAGCACAAACCGTATTCTTTAATGAACTAAAAGAAATTAGTCTAGGTTTTTTTTTTTGTTGTTGATACCAGGGATCAAACTCAGACCACGTGCTTATAAGGCAGGTGCTTATGCAGCAGAGCTAAGTCCCCAGCCCCAAGAAATTAGTAATATAACTATCTTAGCTATCTTGTGTGTGTATATGTGTGTGTGTGTGTATATATATATATTTCTTTTTTCTTTTTCCTTCTTTTCTCCTTTCCTCCATTCCAGTTGTTCTTTCCTTTTGAAGAGTTTCTTTCCCTTTCACAATATGTGTTGCAGATTTTGAACCTTATTTACTATTTCAGTTGCTTACACTAGGGAGACAATACAATGTTTACACATGCAAATTTGATTTATTTCACATATGAATATGGTTTCAAGTTGTATCCATTTACCTATAAAAGCCTCAAGTTTATCCTTTGTAGCTCAGTAGCTGAGTAGCTTTGTAGCTTATCCATTCTTTGATGGGCTTTTTGGTTTGTTTCCAAGATCTGGCTATTACAAATTGTGTTGCTACAAACATGAGTGCGCATATGTCACTGTGGTGTGTTTTTAATTCTTTTGGGAAGATACACAGAAGAGGAATATCTGAGTTGGATGGGACCTCTAACTAGTTTTTTGAGGACTCTCCACACTGATTTTCACAGTGGTTGCACCAGTCTGCACTCCCACCAACTGTGGAGAATGGTCCCCCGCGAGCACTGCTAGCATTTGTTCTAGGTTGATTTCTTGGTAATAGCCATTCTTCCTGGAGTGAGATGGAATCTCAGCATTGTTTTAATTTGCATTTCTCTTCATCTGAGAAATATGTACTCATCTCATACCTTCTTTTTTTTTTTTGTTACTGGGAATGGAACTCATAACCTTGCGCTTGCCAGGCAGGCGCTAATGTTGTTGAGCTAAATCCCTGACTTTTTTTTTAAGACAAAAAAAATAATAGTTTTGAAACAGGTTAGTAGGAGAGTTACAACAATTAATGCACTGAGTACTGTTTTGCAGTAGTTACTCAGAGTAGAAAACATATACATGGTATCTTGCCTGAATTTTATTATCTGCTCCTGTGTTCTTAGGAGACTCTGGAAAACACCAGCATATGCCAGCACACATTCCATTAGCATTGAGAACAGTGGCGCTGTGGCCTGTCATGGGGTAACTGCCTGAAACACTCCCTGAGAGAGAATGAGAGCAGAAAAGAGGGTCCCCGAAGCCTGCGGCCCTCTGCACGTCCCTGAGAGCTGCTGCTCTGAGGGAGTCTGCTTGCAGCTGGGTCGCGGGAGGACCGTGTCCTAGGCCAGTCCCTGGGGCGAAGGCTTGAACTCCAAGCCTTGTTTGGCCCAGTTCTCTAAGGGTTTGAGTTTTAAGCCTGCAGAGCTTGTGGCTGGGTGAGTCAGGGAGCGGGGAGCGGGGCAGGGCTTTGGGCAGAGGGGAGGGTCTCTCAGCTTGGCGTCTGCTCTGAGGATTGACTGCTGGAGAGGTGGGGGACACGAGGAGCAGGAGGCCACCGAGAAGCGTTGGCCCTGGAGCTTGGCCCCGGCTGTGTGAGGGGTCACCCTGAGCAGTGTGCCAGGGTGGGCTCTGTCAGCAGTGTCGGTGGGGTGTGAGGGAGGTCAAAGCCAGCACTGCTCTTCAGGCCATCCCAGCTGGAAGCGGGGAGCTGCTGGTTCCTAAGATGAAGACAGTTGTGAAGGAACAGGGTGGTGATGCAAGGGTCAGCCGGGTGTCCAGGTTGGCTCTGGGGGAAAGGTCTGGACCGAGATACAAATTTGGAAATGTTTTAGACCTCACTTTGGGTGAAGCCCACGCAGGGAGAGGAAAGTGTGGAGGAGAAGGTGGTCCGAAGACCAAGCCCTGCAGTTTCACAGGTAGAGGCCAGGGAGATGAGACTGCAGGAGGGGGACCAAGAGTGCCAGGAGAGCGGGGCTCCCGAAGGCACCGAAGGACCACCACAACACCGTGTGCCTGGCGCTGTGGTGAGTGCTGTGCTCGGCCGGCCTGGCAGCGTGACGACCCGCAGGGCCCTGGTGGCCTTGATGGGGTATATTTCTGTTTGAGGTGGTTTTTGGGGAGACTGAAGCAGAGACGGGCAGTGTGCAGGCAGAGGCTCAGACCTCTGGAGCTCGGCCCGTGCCCTTGCAGCTCCAGGAGACCGGCGGGGGCCCAGGAGTGGACACGGGCAGATGTGGGTGTGGGGTGTTCCCTGTGGATCACTTCTGTGGTCCCAGCAAAATAGAAACGGAGAGAGACCGGGAAATGAAGGTCGTTGGCACCATCGGTGTCACAGCAGTGGCAGGGCAGGGGAAGGACGTGGCACACCTTGTGTCACACTGTCATCCAAGCTCAGCTGTGTTGAGTTTCACATCTGGCCTCCCTAAAGCAATTGATTGATTGATTGCCTTCTGGTTTTTTGAGACAGGGTCTCGCGCCTGGTTTATTGGTACATTTTAGATATACACGGTGATAACATTCATCACAGGGAATTTGTAACTAATATGATGTATCTTCTTTTTTCTCCATTCCCTTCTGTTCCCTTCAACCTCTCTTCCCCTCCTTAATTACAAAAGCTTTGTTTTCATTTTTTCCTTATATTCTGGTTCCAGAGTCTCACTAATGAGGTCTGTTTACTTTTCTTACTAGACTTCTTACATCTCACCTTTTATATCAGGAAGATTTTTAGGACTCTGCCTGATCAGGAGTGATACATACTCTGTGTGTTCTATTTTTAAATTTCACAGCCAAGTGTTACTGTAAGTTATCTTTATTCTGAAGGTCTTGTTACACTGTACAGTTACACTACGCACACAGTAGTCAAGGTGTTAGAAAGACCTGCTGACCTCAAGGCAGAAGGGTAGAAGCAGGGGTGACCTCAGGCCTCCTGTCTTGGATGCTTGCGCCATCAGACCTGTAAAGGTACCCAGAGCTCTGGTGTGAGCTGCAGGGCCCTATGTCCAGGGCTGGCTGTTTCCAGTGAGGGAACAAGGCGGACGCGGTGACCCTGTGTTTCATCTTGCCGTCTGGAGAAGCCCTAGAGAAGGGCCGCCTGTGCAGAGTGACCTTGCTGTGCATTTGAAAACGCACTGCTGCATATTTGCTATTTTGTGTGAAATCCACATTCATCATCTCAATGAAATGTATTCGCAAAGTGGAGTGTTAAGAGAAGCAGAACAAAGCCAGACCCAAAAACTTACAACTTTTTTTTGTCTTTTTTTTGAGACAGGGTCTTGCTATATACAATTCAGGCTGGCCTTGAATTCACTTTGTAGCCCAGGCTGGCCTTGAACTCAGAGTGACCTTCCTGCCTCAGCCTCCTGAGTGCTGGATTACAGGTGTGTGCCGCCACCCTGGTTTATACGATATTCTTACTTCTGCAGTTCTCTTTCTTTGCTTTTGATCCTTGGTGTGTTATAGGGACACTTGATTATTTTTTTTGCTTGGTTTTTATTGGTACATTTTAGGTATACAAAGTCACGTTTGTCATAGGGAATTTGTACCTGTCCATGATAGGTCGTGCTTTTTTTCCCCCATTTCTCTCCCCTCCATTCACCCTTTCCCCCTCCTTTCTTCCAGGACTTTTGTTTCCATTTCTTTCTTTCTATTCTTTTTTTCCCTGTGCCTGCCTTTTCCCATCCCTCGCCTCTGTTCCCCTTCTTATTTGAACATTTTCTTCCTGTTTCCCAATATCTATTATACACTTTGGTCCTCCACACTTTCAGTTTCTCTCATCAGAGAAACAGCGCAGCATTTGAACATGTGTGTCCGATTTAATTCACTTAAGAGTATGGTCTCAAGGTGCTTCCATTTAGCCACAAATGTCTCAAGCTTTTGTTCGTTTTTTGGTTTTAGGAGATGAGGTCTCACAGTGCAGTTCAGTTGAATGCACTTTGTAGCTGGCCTCAAACTCAGGGCAGTCCTCCTGGCTCAGCCTCCTGAGGCTGGGTTTACAGGCATATACCGCCAGGCTCAGCTCACAAGCTTCTTTTCTTTATGGCAGAGTAGTACTCCCATTTTATTTTTAAAAAACAAACACCTGTCTTTTACCCATTCATTGGTTGATGGGCATTTGGGCTGTTTCCAAGGGTTAGTTATTGCAGACTGTGCCACTATAAACATGGGTATGCGTAAATTGTGGTATAATGCTTTTTTCTTTTTAAAATGATGCTTTTAATTCTTTTGGGAAGATAATCAGAAGGGGAATAGCTGAGTCTAATGGAACCTCCAATCCTAGTTTTTTTTTTTTTGGTACTGGGGATCAAACTCATGACCTTGTGCTTGCCAGGCAGGCACTTAAGCCACTGAGCTAAATCCCTGGCCTTCCCATCCTAGTTTTTTGAGGAATCTCCACACTGATTTCCACAGTGGTTGTACCGTCTGCACTCCCACCACCAGTGGAGAAGGGTTCCATTTCCCACACAGTCCCTCTGGCATTTGTTTTTGGTTGATTTCTTGATAATCGCCATTCGAGGCTGGGTGTGGTGGTGCGTGATTGTAATCCTAGCACCTGCCTGTAGTTTCAGCACTGGAGAGGCTGAGGCAGGAGGATCAGTGTTCAAGGTCAGCCTGGGCTACAAAGTGAGTTTGAAGCCAGTTTGAACTGTGTAGCAAAACCCTCTCTCAAACAGACCAAAAAGGAAAGATAATAGCTTTTCTCTTGGAGTGATCTGGAATCTTGGAGTCGTTTTAATTTGCATCTCTCAAGTGACCAGTGGTGTTGAACATTTTTTCATATATTTCTTTGCTGGTTTTACTTCTTCATCTCACAAGGGTCTGTTGATTTCAGATGACTATTTTTGCATTGGGTCTTTAAATTTGGGGCCTGATTTTTTTTTTAAAGTTCTTTCTATATATATTCCAGATATTAGTCCTTTGAGGAACAGCTGGCAAAGAATTATTTCCCACACAGTGGGTTCGCTCTACACTCTGCTGGTGGTTTCTTTTGTTGTACGAAAGCTTTTTAGTAAGATGAGATCCCAGTTGTTGATTCTTTGTGATGTTTCCTGTGTAATCAGGGTTTTGTTCATAGTCTGTCTATAGCTGTGTCTTCAAGAGATTCACCTATTCTATCTTCTAGCAGACTTAGTGTTCCTCTATTAATATGTAGATCTTTGATTTATTTCAACTTTAGTTTACTGCATGATGAAAGATACGGATCTAGTTTCAGTCTTCGGCATGTGGAAAGCTAGTTTTTCCAGCACCATTTATTAGAGGCTATGTTTCCTCTAGTGAGTGTTTGGCATTTTGTTAAAGCTAAACTGGCTGAATTGTTTGGAGTTGTTTCTGTATTTTGTGATCTATGCCACTGACCCTCAGTTCTTTAATTTTTATTTTTTTGCTAGTGGCATGCTTTGTTTGTTTGTCTTTTAAGCCATTCTGTTTTTATCACAGTAGCTTTGTAGTATAATTTCCAAGTCAGGGATTGTGGTATCCCCTTCCTTGCCTTTGGTACCAGGTGCTTGTGTTATTCTAGTTTTGGCTTCGAATAATTTTGTCTTGTTTTCTCTAATTCTGTGGGGTATGCTGTTGATATTTTAATTGGGATTGCACTAACTCTGAATAACAATTTTGGAAGTATGTCCATTTTTATTATTTTGGTTCTTCCTACCCAAGAACAAGGGATATCTTTCCATTTTCTGATAGTCTCTTTCATCTCCTTTTTGAGACTCCTGTAGAGACCGTTTATTGCTTTGTTAGATCAATTCCTAGGTACTTCACTTTTTTGAATGCTATTGTGAAAGGTGTTATTTTCCTAATTAGCACTCTCAGTGAGTTTGTTATTTTTGTATAGGAATGCTGTTGATTTTCAAGTGTTGACTTTGTATACAGCTATGCTACTAGACTTGATTATTAAATCTAGAAGTATTTTGGTGGATTTTTTGAGATCTTCTATGTAGAGTATCATGTCACACGCAAATAATGAAATTTAACTTCTTCCTTTCCTTTTCTATCTCTGTTTCTTCTCTTGGTAGTGAACATCTAGTCTTGTTCTTGATGTAGACTGAATCTTTTAGTTTTTGTCCATTTAGTATGTTGTTGGCTGTTGGTTAGTCATGGGTGGCATTTATCACATTGAGATAAATAAAGACCATTTAATCCAATTTACTATAGGGTTTTTATCATGAATGGGCGTTGGATTTTGTCAAATGCTTTTTCTGTAACTGTTGAGATTATGTGATTTTTGTCCTTGGCTCTGTTAATTAGGTATATTACATTTATTGATTTGCATATGTTGAATCATCCCTACATCTGTGGGATGACTCCCACTTGGTGATGATGCAAAATCTTTTTTTTTTTTTTTTTTTTTTTTAAATTGGTACCAGGGATCGAACTCACAACTGCCTGCTTGCAAGGCAGGCACTTATGCTGCTGAGCTAAATCCCCAGCCTCCGCAAAATCTTCTTGACGAGCCAGGCATGGTGGCACATGCCTGTGATCTCAGCACTTGGGAGGCTGAGGCAGAAGGATCATTGTGAGTTTGAGACCAGCCTGGGTTACAAAGTAAGCTCAAGGCCAGCCTGAACTGCACAGTGATACTTTGTCTCAGACAAGACAAAACAAAACCCCCAAAAACCAAAAAGTCCCCCAAAACTTCTTGATGTTGCGTCCTTTGTTGCATTTGTTTGCCAATATCTTATTGAAGATGTCTGTGTTCATTAGGGAGATTATTCTGTAGTGTTCTTTTTTTGTTGGCTCTTTTACTGACTTTGGTATCAGGGTAATGCTTGCTTTAAGCAGTGAATTTGGGAGGATTGCTTCCCTTTCAATTTCATTGAAGAGTTTGAGAAGTAGTGACATTAGGTTTTTCTCTAAATTTCCTGTAGAATCCAGCACATAATCTGTGTAGACCTGGACTTTTCTTTGTTAGTAGATTTTCAATTACTAAAATAATTTTTAGTTTTCATTGAGTGATAGCAGGTTTGGTAACTCATATGTATCTAAGAATCTGTCCATTTCTTCTGTGTTTTCCATCTTATTAGAATATAGGTTCTCAAAGTAGGTATTGATGATCTGAATTTCTGCAACTCTTTTGTGATTTCACCCTTTTCATTCCTAATTATATGCATTTGATTCTTTTCTTTCATTTTATTGAAAAGGTTGGCTCATGGTTTGTCAGTTTTATTCAAATTTTCAAAAGCCAGCTCTTCCATTCATCGATTCTTAGTATTGCTTAAGTCTTAGTCTCTATTGCGTGAATTTCTGCTCTGATCTTGACAGTTTTCTCCCTCAGATGGGCTTTGGGCTTGGCTTGCTCTTCATTTTGTAGAAGCTTGCAGTTCAGCATGAAGTTGTTTATTTGAGCGTGCTCTGTTTTTCTGGTGTGGTAATTCAGTGCTATAAATGTCCCTCATAGGTCTGTTTTCACTGTGTCCCATATTTCCAGTATGTTGTACTGGCGTTGTTTAGGTGTGGAGACCGTCTGATTTCTTCTTAATAGTTTTATCTATGACTTAACGGTTGTTGAAGAGTGCGTTGTTTAATTTCCATGTATTTGTGGTTTCTGTTGCCATTGATTTCCAATTTTGTTGCACTATGATCTGATAATGTGCATGGGATAATTTCGGTTCCTTTGCATTTACTTAAGCACATTCTAGCATGCGGTCTGTTTTACAGAATGTCCCATGTGCAACTGAGAAGAATGCATATTCTGATGTGGTGTGGAACACCCTGTAACATCTGCTATGCCCATTTGTTCAAAAGTTGGTTCAGTTTTCATATTTCTTCATTGACTTTTCTACTTCATCTATTTGTGGCAGTGGGGAATTGAAATCCCCCATTATAATATTAGTGCTTATTTGATTTTTCATACCTGTTAATACTTGCTTTATAGAGTTGGGTGCACTGGTTATTTGGTGCATATATATTCATGATTGTTATCTCTTCCTCTTGATTGTTACATTTACAAGGATGTAGTGACCATCTTTGTCTCTCTTAATCAGTCTTGGCTTGAAATCCACTTCATTTGCAAATAAAGTAGCAACCCCTGCTTTTTTTCCAGGTTTCTGTTGCATACAGTGTTTTCCATCCTTTGACTTTTAGTCTGAATTTCTTTTTTTAGATTAAATGTGTTTCTTGTATGCAGCATGTGGTTGAATCTTGCTTTATTTTCTTTAATTTTTTAATTTTAATTTTTTTTTTTTTTTACACTGAGAATTGAACTAACGGCCTTATGCTTGCCAGGCAGGTGCTGTGCTGCTGAGCTATATCCCTGGCCCGATTTTCTTTAATTTTTAAAAGTTTTTTGAGACAGGATGTTGCTATGTAGTTCAGACTGGCCTTGAAATCACTATGAACCTAGGCTGACTTTGAACTCACAATGATCTTCCTGCCTCGGCCTCCAGAGTGCTAGGATTATAAGCATGCACCACCACTGGATCTTGCTTCTTGATCCATTCTGCCAGTCTGTTTCTTTTGATTGGTGAATTGAGACCTTTTAGTTGGTGGTTGCAACTGATGTGTGTTGACTTACCCTTGTCATGTTATTTTCCTGTTGTTCCCCCTCCCATTTAATTGGTTGGCTCTCCTGTGGATTCATTCTTCTGGGGTTCATAGAGTGGTCCTCATTATCTCTTTGTAGAATGTCCTTCATAGCATTTCTGAGTGCTACTTTGGTGGTCCTAAGTTTCTTCAAGTGTTTTTTGTTGTGGATCTTATTTCCCCATCAGTTTTTAAAAATAGTTTTGTGGGGTACATCAATCTGGTTTGGAGATTTTCTTTTAGAGTTTGAGATACTTTACTCCAAGCTTTCCTTGACCTGAGGATTTGTGTTGAGAAGTCCGCAGTGATTCTTTTTTTAAAAATTTATTATTATTATTATTTTTAATTTTTTATTATTTTGAACGTAGTAAAATACAACAGAAGATGATGGAACAAAGTGAATTTAGACAGTGTAGTGAAATTGGTACAGAACTTCACAGCAGGTTACCGGGATAACAGTAATAGGTACCACAGTGTATCTCATTATCATCACAATAGTTGTTCTTTCAATCAGGTATAGCAAAATAAAATGACATACAGAAGATTATAGAACTTATCAAAATAGAATATTGAATAGAGCAGTATCATTAATCAAAATAAATCTGTGGTAATTCTGATGCGGTTTTCTTTGTGATTTTTTTTTTGCCGTACCAGGGATCGAACTCACGATCTCACGCTTGCCAGGCAGGCACTTATGCCACTGAGCGAAATCCCCAGCCCCCTCCTTTGTGATTTGTTTCTTTTCTCTAACAGCCTTTTTATTTATTTATTTAGATTTGTTTATTTTTTGAGACAGAGTCTTGCTACATACATAGTTCAGGCTGGCCTTGAACTTTCCTTAGTTTTTTTTTTTTTTTTTTGTCTTTTTTTCATTTTTATCGGTACCGGGGATCGAACTCATGACCTGCCTGCTAGCAAGGCAGGTACTTATGCCGCTGAGCTAAATCCCCAGCCCCAGTTTTTTTTTTTGTTGTTGTTTGTTTGTTTCGCTTTTGTTTTTTTGATACTGGGAATGAACTCATGGCCTCGCACTTGCCAGACAGGCACTTGTAGTCTAGGCTGGCCTCAAACTGTCAGCAGACCTCCTGCCTCACTCTCCCAAATGCTGGGATTACAGGCATGCGCCACCACACCCAGAATCTAACCGCTTTTAATATTTTGTTCTTGTGCTGAATTTCTAGAACCTTGACTATTATATTCTTCGGTATAGTTTTTTCTTTTTTGATGATGGCTAATTTGAATTCTATATGCTTACTTATCTGCATGTCAAATTCTTTTTCTTTACTTGGGAAGTTTTCTACCATGGCCTTTTTTTTGGTACTGGAGTTCGAATTCATGACCTCGCCTGCCATGTCTTTTGTGAATAGGTTTATGTTGTTTGTACTCTTCTGCTTTTTCATGGACTACAGTCGATTTTACGTTATTCTTTGTATCATGTGGCAGCTGTTAGACTGATTTTTCATGATCCCCTGCTAATTTTAAGAAATCTTTTTTTCATCGTCACCAGCTGCAATCCTGTCTTCTGTATCTGCTATTCCGCGCTCACATTGGCTCATTCTGCAGTGTATACTTTCATGGATTCCATCTCTTTCCTTATTTGTTTTATCTGTATTGGCTGAAGAGTAACTAACCATGTTTTTTCATTATGTTCACCCGCTCTGTAGTTATGAGAGATTATTTCTAATTTTTAAAAATTTATTTATTTGTTTACTGATTTATTGTGGTGCTGGGGATTGAACCCAGGGTCTTGTTAATGCAAGGCAAGATCTCTCCCACTGAATCACTTCCTCAGTCTCTGATTTGATATTTCTCGAGAGCTTCATTTGTCTGCCTCTTTACTTCCACTGTTAACCAGGTTAGCGTCCAGGTAGGTGGCTCTCAGATGGTTCCACCTCATTTCCCTGAGGGTTTGCCTTTGGTGAGCTGGCAGTGTGGAGTTGCATCTTGGTTAAGTGTCTTCTCATTTTTTTTCTTTTTTCCTTTTGCTTTTTTAAATTAAAAAGAATTAAATTATTCCTGGGTTGATGCTTGTAAATTGCTTGTAGCAGGTAGCTTCATTGCTGGTGTTTAGAACTCTTAAGAAATGACTACTTCTCAGAGGTGTCTTCCAGTTGCAGCTGGCTTTTAGGCTTGAGTCTGTTGCAGGATCCTATCTCTTCGGGTTATTGGGGATGAGAAGTTGCTGCCTATTCGGCACGGCCCCTGGTTTTTGGCACTGGCCTATAGTATTGTTTATGATACTTAGATAATCTCAGTCTTAGCTCAGGAGGAAGAACAGCTGATTGGAACAGTTATGTCACAGTTGGCAAAAGTAGTACAGTGAGCAATCACTGTAGCATCAAACAGCCCAGAAAATGACTAACTGTATTGTTAGTTTGCTACCTTTAACTGTGTGAACTATATTTCTGGTTACATGACAAAATCTAAAAGAAACCAGAAAATCATGTACAATAAATAAAACCTCAAAAAAAAATATGACCTTGATGTAGTGATTTTACCGTCAGGGGAAAAAACTTAAAAGGGACTGGGGGAAAGTAGTAAAACAGAGGAGAAAGCTATTAGAAGCAAGACTGAGCACTAGGAAGATTATGCAAAGTTTGGGAAATTGGTGAAGCAGGCAGGAGGAAAGAAAAGGAAAAAATGACAGAACAGGATAATAACAAAAAAACTAGAAACTGTTGCACTCACAAGAACAAATAAGAAAAAAAAACAAACAGTAAGAAAAGAAAAACCAAACCAGTGACATGGCTTTGTTTGTACCAGAACATGAAAATGCCCAGGTGTGGTGGCTCCCTCCTGTGAGCCCAGCAGTCTGGGCAGCTGAGGCAGGAGGGTGCCAGTCCAGCCCGGGTGGGACCATTTAGCGAGACCTTATCTCAAAGACAGTTTTAAAGAGAGCTGGTAGCGAGAGCTAACCTGTGAAGGCCTGGTTTCAATCCCGCATGTAAGACAGACAGACAGACAAAAAAAAAAAAATACTGTTCACGTGTACACAGACATGAAGAAAGGCAGGCTCAGATTGTAGGGAAACACACTTAGAAAAGGTACAAACTGGTGTCACCTTGTGTGTAAGTCTGAAAAACGCAGTACACAGGTGACGAACCCTTTCTCTCTTCCTGGGAGTGGTGCTGTGTGGTTAGCTTCAGGGTTTACAGGCACATCTTTGGGTCACTTCTTCGTGGGTGAGAGTGACCATGTCCGGTGAGCTGCCACCCTGCTGAGGCCGCTGAGCCCTGTGTGTGCAGTGGAGCGTCTGTTGCACATCTCTCGCTATAGGTTGAGCTTTCGTACACTTCAGTATGTGTGATCTGTGTGTTCTGTGTCCTGGAATGCTGTGTAGGAGGCTGCTGATGGGTTGCGCTGGTTGTGTATGGGAGGGTCACAGCTGTTGAGCAGAACTTGTGCGCTGACAGTGATCTGGGAAGAGACAGAGTTTTAACTCAGGTTTGCCAGCACAGTGATAGAACCAGCAGATGGGAGCGCAGAAGGACTGGGGGCTGTAACTGAGTTCTGCCCGATGAGCGGTTGTGCTAAAGGAGGAGAGGACTGGTAAGGAATACCACGTACAGCCAGGCATAGTGTGCACATGTATAGTCCCAGCGCCCTGGAGGCTGCGACTCAGTCTCAAAGCAGACAGATAAAGATGCCCATGTACATGTACATTGCAGAAGACGGGCAGGCAGACTGTGCAGAGTGACTGACCCTGGGTTCTGGAGCAGAGAGAAGGTGCTTTGGTGGAGCACTGTGACAGCAGCCTCCCCAAAGCCCAGACCTGCTGCTGCAGAATCCCTGACTGTTTAAGTGCTTGGTCAGGGACACCTGAGCTAGTGTTCATTGGCAGTTAGGTTAACAACTGAAAGCCTTCCACCCCACCATGGAGACCAGCATGCAGAGAGGAGAGTACTTCGCTTCTTAGTGCATGGAACCAGCTTGCTCAGCCTCACTGAGTCACCAGACAGGGCAAAAGAAGACAGACATTAGATACAAGGGCAGATGTGTGACACTAGCGGCAGTCAACAGTTAAATGCTGTGTAGGCTTTAAGTCCTCTTCAGAGATAGGCGTCTGTCTATCTGAAATGGAAATGCAGCCTTGCCTGCAGGTGCACAGTGAACAGGTTTTCAAGATCGTCATGTGTTGTTCAAAACATTTGTTTTGTGGTAGTGAGGATTGAACCCAGGGCTTTGCACATGCTAGGTAAGTACGCTGCCACTGAGCTGCATACACAGCCCTTTTTACATTTTTATTTTGAGAATAAAATTTATTTCAAGTTACCCAGGCTGGTCCTAAACTAGCTGTCTTACTGCCTCAGCCTCCTGCAGTATTGAGACTACAGGTGTGCAGCACCATGCCTAGCATTAGGCTTAATTTTGGAACCAATAAATGGTAGAGTAGTTTTGAAAAATCTACAGGGACCAGGGATATCGCTCTGGGGCACAACAGCTGCTTGGCAAGTATGAGGTCCTGAGTTTGATTCCTAGTACAAAAAAAAAAAAAAAAGATGAGAAATGCCATCTTTGGCCAAGACTTGTGACTGTCTTAAGAATGCGGCGAGAAAAATAAAAAACCGAGATAAGTATAGCATTGCAGCAATGGCTGGGAAGTCAGTGTCTCTGGAATGGACTCCTCCACTCCCAGAGCAGCCCCATTTATTAAGTGTGTACGGTGATAGGTAGGGCTGGCAAGGGATTACAGTTCATCAGAAGACTGACTCCAGAGGACTCCATAATCTTAGGCTTAGAAGTCTCTTGATGGGAGTATAATCCCGAGATGCCTTCCCGAGAAGGTGTAGATGATGCCGTGCTCAGAAGAGTCAATAGGAAGCCAGTCCATGGAGTAATCACAATCCTTCCTGTCATCCCACAGGGAAATACGCAAAACCGGTTACAGTGAATTGTGGTTCCCAACAGAAAACTCTTTACAATATTAGAAATATCTGTTAAATCTTTTCATTGAATTTGGAAAAAAAAAGTTTCTCAAAAATACATGAAGATCCTTCGGTGCTTATATTCAGCTGTCAAGTAGTCTTATTCTTAGAATTTTAGCAGTTAACATTTATGAGAAATAGTGGCTCCAAATGTTGGGAGTAGAATTTATTTATTTATTTTAGTTTGGTTTTTTTGAGGCAGGCTGACATTGAACACACTGCGTAAGCACAGGCTGGCTTCAAATTCATGGTGATCCTCCTGTCTCTGTCTCCTGAGTGCACTAGCCCACCTTGCCTTGAAGTGGAATTTTAAAAGTTTGTCTACTTTGGTGTTAGAGACCATCTTGTATGTTTTAAAATATGATTTAAAAATATAGTTGGGCTCTTTCATCTTTCCATAACAGATTTGTTAAAATGCTACTTAATAGTTTGAGCTCCATGTTGTGGAACTTTCTTTTTGACTCACAGATTTGTTGATATAATTGGTATTAGAAATTTTTCCTAGGGAAGTTCCTCACTGACTAGCTTCAAGTAACTAGCAAGAGAGATTGAATAGTTAACAAGGAGTATTTTCTCCACCGTGAATGTAATTATTACATACTCCAAACATGTACTTGTAAAAATTTGAAAAACTAAAAACAAGATAAACAAAAAAACATGAAATATTTTCATTTGAAACAGACACTTGAATGTGTTTAAATTTTTGTAAATTTACTTCGTGAATTATAAATTAAATGCTTTTTTTGTACTAGGAATCAAACTCACGACCTCGAGCTTGCTAGGCAGGCTCTATGCCCCTGAACCATATCTCTGGTCCAAATGATGTTAATTTTTCCTCTTCTTTCAGTTATAAATTTAGATTGATGTCTGAGTTGATGAATCTTCTGCCATATGTACCACCCAGTTTTTGGTTTAGAACATATTTTGAGAAATTGAATCTTCTCACTGGCTGTTGATTTAGGGTCTGAGTTGTACTGTAGTCCTAAGACTATTGAACTAGTGTTTCAGATGTCATTGTCTAGATATAGAGACTGTTATGCTAAATGTTAACATGGAAAAATAACCACAAAAAGAGAGAGAGAGGGAAAGAAAACCACAGTTGCCTCTCACATTGGGTTTCTGGCCTCTTCTGCTTCCCGCTTGTCCAGCTGAAGTTCTGGCAGCATGAAAGACTGGCCCTTCAGGATGGTTCCCTCCGCTGTTGGAGCTGGCTGCAGTGCTGGGCAGGAGGGCAGGGCAGGGCTGCTGCTCACACAGCTGACCTCTGCTGCAGGGCCTCCCTGTGGAGGCTGCAGTCCCTGGGCTGCAGGGGGTCTGTGCCTTGTCTTTCAGCCCTTGCTGCTGCTAGGAGGGAGGAGAGGCTCCATAGAGAAGAATGGTGGCCCAGGGTGTGGGTTTCTGTGGTGGGGGCAGAACCCCAAACTCATGGGCTCATGGAAGACTCCTTAGGTCAGAGGAGTTCTCAGTAGCAGCTTGAAGAAAATGAAGACCAAAATACCAAGTACTTTAACTTTTTTTAAAATTTAGAGTATGTTTTGTTACAGATTTTTTTTTTTTTTGTCTTTTTCCTTTTTATTGGTACCGGGGATTGAACTCAGGACTGCCTGCTTGCAAGGCAGGCGCTTATGCCGCTGAGCTAAATCTCCAGTCCCTGTTACAGAAATTTTAAAAAGCAGTTTTTGAAGTCTCAGCGATAGATTATTCAACTGTGTTTAAAGCCCTAGCTCCCTGCTGGGTGCTGTGTGGAGTGCTTGACATGCCTGCTGGTCAAAAGCTGGGGCCCTGCTGCTGTGCAGCTTCCAGGTACTCTGGGAACAGAACGTTCATCAGAAATCAGCAGCTGCTGTCCAGGACAAGCGTGTCCATGAGAGCGGGCTGTGGTGGTTATCTCCTGTCATCCCAGCATGCTGGGAGGCTGAGGCAGGAAGATCACAAGTCCAGCCCGGTCTGGGTAACTTAGTGATTTCGTAAGATCTAGTCCCATAAAGGGCTGGGGATGTAGCTCAGTGCGAGGCCTGGGGTTCAATCTTCAGTTCCACCAGACAAGCAAACAGTATGCACGGAACAGAGACCTTGACATGGACCATGCACTGCTCGGTATTTGCCACTGCTGCTGCTGCATGGTAGCCAAGCACGGGCAAGAGGACTTGGGCAGCCGCTTTCACCGTCTGAGCTAACCTGATGTAGCTCTGCTCTCTCAGTCCATCCCCAGGGCAAAGGGTCTGGTCGTGTTTGGGTTCAAAGAACGTCATGTGGTCAGCTTGTAGAGTGGTCTCCTAGAGAAGGTGGCACAAAGGTTACTCATTGGGGTGGATGCAAATCATGAGAAATGTCCTGTGGATAATTTATTTGGACTTTGATAATATTTGCCATTTTGGGGGGAAGTCACTTAATTTTGTTTTATTATTTTGAGACAAGTTGTCTCACTCAGCTCCAGGCTGGCCTCAGACTCACTTCAGACTCACAGACTGGCATCAAACTCATGATCCTCTTGCCTTAGTGTCTCTGAGAGCTGGCATTGCAGGTGTTGCCGCACATGACCAAGGAGTCACTAATTATTAAAAGAAAAGAAAGATCCAAGAAAAATGTGACACTTAGACCTCAGCAGCCACTCCAGGTCAGGTAGGTGTGGGGCACCGAGGACATTCAGGAGGAGAGGAGCTGCATGCTGGGGATCCTGTGGCTGTCAGAGGCAGAGCTGGCTTTGATGGTAGTATTTCTGTTGTGACCATGAGGCAGGGGAACTTTCCTGACATTTCTAAAGACTGATGGCCAGGTTAATTTTGGACAGGACATGCATGGTATGAATGTGCAATTACTAAAAATACATGCTGATCAGAATTCTCACCTAGCCGTGTTAATGCGTCTATTTTGGGCCTGCCTTTACTACTGCCAAGACTCCCTTGTCGCCCACAACTGCTGAGTTTGCTTCTTGCCCTAATGACAAGTCTGCCTCCCTCACCCCCTGGTTGGCCAGGATACAGTTCCGTTCCTGTTCACTGCTGAGGGCGGGTAAAAGTTGTCTGCCTTTTTCTCTTCCCCCTTGCTTATTGGCCACTTGTACGGATCTCTTCTGTGTGCTGCCTTCCTCTAGTGCAAGTTACTAAATGTGAGTGGGTCATAGAAATACTCACCGTCAAAGTTACTTTGCAGATGGACCCACGGAGCCTGCTGTCTTTCTGGAGGGGAGTTGTGACCTGTGGAGCTTGAAGGAATCCCAGGCTCTGCTGACCTGGACCTCAGTGAACTCCGGATTGCTGGCATATGGTGCGGCCTCAAAGCTCCTGGCCCCCTCGAAGAGCTGTCAGCGTGTGGTCGCCCAGAAAAGCACAGGGAAGGCCATTGCTGTGCTATGCTGTGCTGAAAGCGTGCTGTGTGCACTGAGCGTGTGTTGCTGGTTGAAATTCTTGGAATCCGAGAGCCACAGAGTGAGGCTGCAGGCGTGCTCTGTCTTCACCTCACAGAAGCTGGTGGCTGGCAAGATGCGTGCTAGCGTTGCTTGTGGTTGTGAGTCAGCAGCACGCGGAGTTGTGTGGTGCAGTGGAGGGGTGGGGCTCAGGTCTGAGCACCCTCTGCACACCGGCTTCTTTCCTTCTTTTTTTTTTTTCGGGAGGGGCAGTACTGAGGATTGAACCCAGGGCCTAAAAATGCTAGGCAAAGTGTCTACCACTGTGCTACTCTCCAGCTCTTCTTATTTTATTTTGTAACAGGGTCTCACCAGGTTGTCTAGTCTAGCCTTCAGTTTGTGATCTTCCTGTGTCAGCCTCCTAGAGTTCTGGGATCACAGGTGTGTCCTTCCCAGTCAGCCTCACCCACCATTTTTCTGACTGTGAAATGTGTATGTCTGCTCACAACATCTGATTTCTAGGATTACTGTGAGAACTAGATGTACATGATTAGGGCTTGTAATATTCTAAATTGCTATAGAAATATTAGAGACCAAATGTGGTGGGGCACCCTAGTAATCCCAGCACTTGAGAAGCTGAGGCAGGAAGATCATTACAAGCTTGAGGCCAGCCTGAGCTACATATGTCAAGGCTAGTCTGAACTGTGCAGCGAGAACCTGTCTCAGAAAACGAAACAAAACAAAATTAGTTAAAGCTATTGCTAATAATCCTTCGAGCTCAGGTTGAACCATAATTGATACATTGAAGTAATCTAGTGATACTACTATAAATATTTCAAGTATATAAAAAATATTTTAGAACTTCTAAAAATAGACTTTACTTTTTAGAGCACCTTGAGACTCATGGCAGAGTTGAATGGAAAACAGTTTTGAAATGCCACTGTCTGCCCCTCTGGAACCACCTCTGCCATCAGCGTCTCTCAGGGTGGTGTGTGTTACGATGGATGTGCCTGTACTCACACATCAGTAGCACCACGTCCCTGATTGACGTGGGCCCTGTGGGTTTGGGCAGATGAGTGATGATGTGTGCCTGCGTGCAGGGCGCGTGCAGACGTTTCCACTGCCCTGAAAGCCCTTTGTGCCCTGCCTATTCCTCTGTTCTCCTTTCTAAACCCCGGTAATCACTAGCCTTTGCTGTCAGAGACATATGGTGTGCAGCCTTCCCTGACTGAGTTCTCTCACTCCGCGCTGCGTATTTAGGCTTCTGTGTTGTTTCGTGGCTCGGAATGGTGTGTGTGTTTTCAGAGGCAGGGTCTTGCTAATAGTTCAGGCTGGTGTGGAGCACCTGGGCTGCCGTCGCACGCACAGTTCACCTCCTGCTTCAGCCTCCTGAGGGCTGGCATTGCAGGCCTGTGCTTGCACGCCGGGCTGGTTTGGTAGTTTCTGGGCGCTGAGTGATATTCCTCTGTCTAAATGTACCACTTTAGCTGTTCACTGACTGAGAGCCATCCGACTCTTTCCTCGTCTTGACAGTTACGAATAAAACCGACATAAATGTCTGCATTTCTTTTCTTTCCTTTTGTGGGTACAGGGAATTGAACCCTGAGGTTTCACACTGAGGTGTATCCCCAACTCATTTTATTTAAGTTTATTTTAGTTTAAGTTTTTGGTAGTTTAGCGCGAGGATCTCTTTAAGTTGCCCAGACTGGGCTTGAATTCAGATTTCTCCTGCTGGGGTTATAGGTGTACTCCTCAGAGCCCAGGTAGTCTTTTGCCTTTTTAATCAGCTTATTTTCTTACTGAATTTTAAGTGTTCTTTGTATAATTTGGCTAAGAGCTTCATCAGATACATCTTTTACAGTTTTTTCAATATCTTTGACTTATTTTTTCTTTCGCTTGATATTCCACTTGTTTTACTTATTTTCTGGGAGAAAAAGTCTGGTTATTTGGTTTATATCTGCATGTGTGCCCATGTGCCTGTGTGTGAGAGAAGGAACGTCTAGCGCAAGAGGTGAGTCCTTCAGGGCAGGTGTGCCACAGGCAGAGGGGGGAGACGGCGGCTGCCGGGGAGGGCGGAGGGCTTGTGTGCTTACTGGGTCTAAGGTTTTATTTTGGGTGATAAAAGTATTTTGGCACTAGTGGAGGTGCTAATTTCACAACATCATGAATGTATGAACGTTTCATTTTAAAATAGTTAATTTTAGGGGTATTTCATGTCAATTTTAAAAAATTAGTTTTTAGAATCTTTTTTGAGGGACCAGTGGGGCCTTGCACGTGCTAGGCAAGCGTTCTGCCTACCGTGAAGCCATGTAGGGGCCCTGTACTTTTTGGAAATGTTTATTTAAAAGTTCCTCCTTTAGAATGAGTCTGTTAGTAGATGGAATTTAAAACATACATCATGGCGTGGACGAGAGGCTTTGTTTCCCACATGCTTCACTGAGTGGGTGTTGTGAGGCCTTTCATTCTCTGAATACTTTGAAGTACAGTTGAAAGGCAAACTAGGGTCAGGGTTTCAAGCAAGTTTCAGAGGCAGCGCAGAAATGTGGGCAGATTAAGTTTTCGGCAGCAGTGGTGCTTTTACAGAGAAGGGCAGAGTCATGTTTGTTTTGGCCTCTTAATGGTTGAAAAAAGGAACACCAAGAATAATTTATAATTTTCATTTCCTTTGCTCCAAGAAAAAGATTTGTAAGAGCTTTCATTAAAAATATATGAAGCAGGGCTGGGGTTAGCTCAATGGTTGAGTGGCTGCCTTGTGTGCAGAAAGCCCTGGGTTGGCGCCCCAGTATTGGATTAAGAGTGTGTGTGTGTGTGTGTGTGTGTGGTTTGTCTGTGTGTGTATCAAGCCAGTCAGCAAGTATTTAAAAAGATCAGTGGAAGACATGTCTAAGAATGGGCAGCTCTCCACCACCTCTTTCAGGCTGGATAGAGGCAAACATGGTAAGCACAGGTGAGGTGTGTGTAGGTGAGCCTCAAAGTGCACTTCCCTGCGGCAGTAGTTAGGATATTTACAGAGGAAATCTTACCTGTAGCAAACTGGCATGTGTTGTGGCAGTGTCTTTAAGTATGGTTTGTAGAAGATTGAAAATTGTCCCTTGTTTGGTTATTTTACAGTATTTGTTGGCTTCTAAAAATGATCGACCAGTGTTTCGAATATGCGATGTGTTTTCACTGTTCAGAAGTCAAAGGGTGCAGGGGGACCCAGTGAAAATTCTTCCTGCCACACTTCTCTCCCCAGCCAGCCGGTCCCTTCCCTGGAGGAGACCCTGCCCTCAGTGCCTGGTGGTTCCTCTGCTGGAGCCTGATCAGAGGAGAGGGCTTGGCATTTCTTTTCTGGACACACACACACACACACACACACACACACCTCTAACAGGCTCTCCCTGTTTCCGATGCTGACTGTGTGTGTAGCTGGGGGAGCTCAGCCAGGAGTCGCAGTCTTAATGGATCTGGTCTTGCTGTGAGTTTTGTGATAATTCTCATTCTGTTTGTTCCTGCTCTGCTTTACTGCCCACTATTAGTAGAGCAAGAATTGGAATTAAAAGATATTTAGTTTTCTAAAAAACAGAGGAGGAAATCAAGCTGTACTGGCATAGGGCACGACCCCTTCCCTAGACAGTGCTAAGCAGCTAGAACTGAATGAACCGAGTGTGTCACAGTGTGCACGTGGTCAGCGTATAAATATATATCTTTCTGTGTATTAGTAATGGGCAGAAATTGGAATTTTAAAAAATACCCTTGAAGCACTTGAGAGGCTGAGACAGGAAGATTACTGCAAGTTCGAGGCCAGCCTGCACTACAAACTCATACTGTCTCCAAACAAGGTTCTTAAATAGCCTCAAAAGATATTTAAAAAAAAAAATACATAAATACACACACACACACACACACATCACTTTCTATATATTGTACTGCTGTCACACACTATAAATAGGTAAAATCACTGTATCAATAAAAAATTAAAAAGTAATTTAGAGCAGAGGGATTGGTGAATGATGGCTCACTTTTATAATACAGGTTAATTAAAGCGCAGCCGTACCCTGTCTCATTAGTTGTATCCCCCGCAGCTGCTTTGGCGCTGCAGCAACAGTGGTTTGGTGGCAGCGCAGTGTGAGGCTCCCAGAGCTGCTGGTGTTACTGTGTGGCCTTCAGGAAAGCCTGGCCGGCCCCTACCGTAGGTCCTCATGACCTTCTGGCAGGGGAAGGTACCTTCTATAGGAGGCAGACAAAACTGATTACCGGGAAACGTTTGTCTTCATCAAAAATTAGTGACACATTAAAAAATGACAGTGACAGTCCTCAAGAATGGCAGAAACTGTTTCAGTGTATGAGAAGAACCTATGAAAGCCTACAGCCACAGGAAGATGCCACAGGAACTGAAGCCCCGTGTTTTACCTGTGGGGCAACAGCAGAGCATTGGGCGGTGCTGCCGGTGGGTGCAGGACCGGGAATCATGGCATCCCTCTGGGCCGCCCCGCGGCCACAGAGCGCAGTGCTGGGCTGAGGGGAGCTGTCCTGTGCGCGGTGGTTCTGTTCTTGGTGTACCAGGACCTGGCCTCACCAGGTCCAGCCGCCAAGCCTGCTGCACCTCCGCCACACTTGGCTCAGTCAGGGGTGCTGAGCCAGCGTCACCTTGCTGCCTTGCAGAGTGGCCGGATGCCGTGACAGCTTGCGGCAGTGTTGGGGGCACCTCAGACCTCACTAGGGTTTTCCTAGCCTGCTCATCACATCATCACCTCCCCAGCTGCTTAGACCAGGGTTCGCAGGCGATGCTTCACTGGTGCCCTCTTGTCATCGCCCACTGCAGAAGGTTTCTTTGTCCTCTGACAGTAGAGTCGGAGTCACGCCTCTAAGCACCCCACAGCCACGGCTTAGTTATTCCACGACACCTTCACCACGCTCCTCGCTTACTCCAGGCCCTCCTCCTGGAGGGCCGCACTGCCGCCCTTTCTGCTGCTTCCTAAGTGGCAGTTACAGCCAGGGCCAGCCCACGCACCTTGTCTCAGAAACCCAAAACACCAGAAGCCAGCTGTAGTTACACATGCCTGTGAGTCCAGCACTCGGGGAGCTGAGGCAGGAGGAGCACGAGCTCACGCCCAGCCTGAGCAATGTAGTGATTTATCAAGATCTTGTCTCAAAGTTTTAAAAATAACCAAAGAGGGCAGTGACGTAGCTCAGGGCAGAGGCCCTGGGTTCAG